GAGAGAGAGAGAGAGATGCAAAAATAACGTAGAAATCTTTTTAAAAAATCATATATCTAAAATGGAACTTTTTTATATTATATATACACTAATATATTTTACAAATATATAAATTACATATTTAACATACATATATAATATATATATATAATATATATTATAGGTATATGCATATTATTATATTTATATGTTTATGTGCATATTATTAAATTATATGTATATTATAGGCATATGTACCTTTTCATTTCGCACATTGTCAATATTAAGAAAAAAATTATTAAAACTAAAATCTAAATTTTTTTTCGTAGTTTTATTATCTTTTTTCTTTTTACGCATAATTAAAGTTTCTTCATAATATAAAACTACCCAAAATTATTCATCCTTACTTACTAAAAATTTATTCATGAAAACGTCAAGAATAAAGAACGTTTAGAATATATTTAAAGCTCGTTTCTGTTTATTTTTTGTTATCCTGCCATCGTGAAAATGACAGTTCAACAAGAAATTTATGGATGTCATTTACCGCAGGGTTTTGTCGATCCATACACTTGCATCTTTCCTCCACAAGTCTCGTATAAACTTGTCAAACTTCTCGACATCGCTAGCAGCTAATAGACGAAAATGGACATCAAATGACGATAAGAAGTTTTGATATCGATATAATCTGCTTAATTAACTTGAAGTTGTATTTATTAAAGTTAATCTGTACTAAAATGGATTGACTGATTTTAAAATAATTCGTTGATACTGAAATGCTTTGCAGAATTTTTACAAGAATTATTTAAAATATGCTGTGCAGATCTCGAAGTAATAGTTGCACAAACTCATAATTTATAAGTTTCTTTTTATATATTTTATAATATATAAAATAGGTTTGGATAAATTGATAAGGATGATATTCTTTTGATTCTCTTCGATTATGAAATGAAATATAAAATTTATAAATAGTCAGCAAATTTTTTATAAATAAATATACTGAGTTTTTGTTTAATTATTTATTGTGTGACTAACAAATACTTTATATAAAATACATATGTTCCAAATTCATTTATTAAACTTTTAGATCGCTGCCTTATTATTAAAATGTTTATTACGAATACATGTATGGAATAAATTATCATTCTTATATCATTGTGCTTCGTTTTTTGAAATGTTATTTAAGTAATGTATTATATGATTATCCTGCTTATTATGTCGATTTTTGTTACTTACTTATAACTCGCTATTTTTGGAATATTTATGGAGATAAGTAATATTTCTACATAGATAATAATTCAGATTTAGTAATAACACATCTCTATTTCGGAGGTCTTATTGTACGTAACAATCGATGTATTTTCCTTAGCGTCACAGTAATCAGTTTGGTGAGCCGTCTGTCGTAAAATAGTATACCATTTTCCGTTTATGTTCAATATTTCACTGTTTGTGCTGATTTCTGCACGTTGGTTTCCGATCATTTTTCTTATTATCTCTCACATTTACGCACATCTTTGAGTAAACTCCCCTACGTCCTTTCCTTTACCTTTTGTCCTTGATTCTCGTTTTCTGAAGGGAAGGATAGGGAGGGCTCTTAATGGGCAACACATAGATCTGGAATGACAAGATATATGCGCTTTTGTGGAAGTTAAAGGCTCATGAACTTTGGGATGAGGATAAAACTGTCTGTTCTGATCCTTCCTGTTCCGGCGACCTTTTCTTATCCCTCTTTTTTTTCATTCAGTAGGAACACGATTCTCGCCTTTGTTTCCGTAAAGACCACATTGTAGAGAACCGTTAATGATACGCGACGGTTTTCTGAATAATTAACAATAAAGGTTTACGTTATTTTAATTTGTAATTCACCCATTTAATTTTTATTTATCACAGCTGATGTTAGTAGATAATAAATAAGAGAAAAAATTGTCGTCCTTTTTATTTATATTTTGTTACGCGTAATTTTTTATTTATTATTAGATATAGATTAGAAATATTTACAATTTTAATATTATCCTGCACTAAACTCCGATTTAATGAATATATAGATCTCAATGATTAATTTATTTATTTACGAAACAAACATGATTGAAATATTTTTAACAATACAATTGGTGTAGTCATTTAATAATTACGTAATAATTAGAATTATATTTGAAATTATAATTGATTATTTTTTATAAAATAAGATCTTTTAAATACAATTTTTCTGTCGCAAATGTTATCGAACAGTAAAAGAATTGTGCGCTTATTAAAATGTCATTTATTTTACTTTGTTATGTTTATAGAAAAAGGGGATCATATATATGGATCGTATAGCTTTTATTTTCACTTATAATAGATTTTGTAAGTTGAAAATTAAGAATTTCTTTTCTCGTGGAAAAACGAGAGATTTTTTTATAGGTTTTGTATAAAATGTCTTCCGTAATAGGTACTGTTTGTTTCCAGGGGCAACAACGTGATCCAATCAATAAGTGCGTTACTTGTTGCGAAACGTGCTCATTCGAGTAACGGAGAAACGCGAAGAATCTTCATTTATCAAAGTAAACGAATAAGAGAGAAAAAATATTCATGGAACAAAGTAAAAATATAAAAAATTATGCATATTGTAATCTTGTTAAATTCTTTGCAATATAACATTGAATTTGAATTACTTAGTACTAGTCCTTGAGAAAGTCAAGTTCTTTAAAAAGAAAATGAAAAAATATAAAGTTCTCGGAAATCATTTCTGAAAAGTTTCCAATTTCTCGAATTCACAATTCTTAAAATATATATTCTGCACATTTTCATCATTTCTCGTAGAGAATGAAAAATAGTTCTCAGATTCGTTATTTATGTGTCTTCTGCAATATGTATGATTAAATTTTTGAAGAATTTATTCTGCATCGAAATAAAAAGTGATATTTAGAAATAATAAGAAATTTATATATTAAATATGTATATAAATTTATCTAATTTTTATGTGTATTTAATATATGACATTTTATATATTTATATAATTTTATATCAGATATATAAATCTCATATTTTGTATTAAATATACAAATTTTATATTGTTTTCTAATTTTATTTTTTATATTTAATATAAAATTAAAAAATAACAGGAATTTTACGTTTTCGAAGTAGGTCATCTACGAAGATCTTAAAATACGCGTGAGATAGCGTGTCAATAAATTTAATAGAAATTTTCATACTGCGCGTGCGACTTTCGTGCAACGATGAGTTTTTTATACGTTTTGCGTGATGCTCTAATTCGGCTTTTTTTATCAGGAAAAATCCTCCCTTTATCGTCTGTTTCACCTCGCGCACGCGTGAAATGTACTTTGGCACGTTATAATGCATAGATATATATAGCATTACAGCGCGCGTTTCAAAGAATGTTTCTTACACGTGGCATGCGTCACATATGCACAAACACGTATGTGCTTCTCTCGATTTTTCCGCAAATCGATACTAAGTCCTTCCTTTTAACTTTTTCGTATCGGATGGACACTGGTGGTCACACCGGTGACATACAATGATGCTTGATTGACCGATACTTACCTATAGTCGCGTGCGAATTTTTGTTGTGGATTCGTATCGCGTTTCAGATGAGAAGCGCTCCTGTGTTGTTTGCCGAGAAACGTGCAATTTGTGATGATATCGATCGTATGAGGACCATCTAAACGGAATAGAAGTCGCACTTTTTCTTCTTTTTTTTGGGAAGGAATCGTTCGATTAGTTTTCGTTCCTCCAAGTAGCTATTTATACGCGATCAGTACTTTGTATCTGGCATAAATTTCTGCAACCTTTGAGAGAGGGAGAGAGAGAGAGAGGGAGAGAGAGAGGGAGAGAGAGAGAGAGAGAGAGAGAGAGGAAAGTGATGGAAAAAAAGCAGAAATTATAGCTGTCGTCTTCCTTCGAAATGGAGCAATAACAACACATTGATGTAGGACGATCGTGATTCTGTTTATCTTCAGCATGATTCATTCTGTGTTCGTCAAATCTCCTTTTTAATAGCTTTGCTGCTTATATTCGAATTGAAAAAGTTCGTTTAAATATATCTTTCTGTTGAGTTATGCAAAATACTATTTGAGAAAATATATGTTAGATATTTTTAAAGATTCTTTTTTAAAGACTAATAAACCTTACATTTTACACGTGATTTGTCTAACAAAGTATTATATTATATATTTTACTGTCATAGTAAAATTTTTATTATTGTAAGCATATAATAATAAAATATTATGTAATATGATAAACAAGTGTATATCCATGGAAGTGTGTTAAATTGCAAATTTTTTTATTTTACATTGTTATCTAGCTATTTATGTGATTCAAAATTTTATACTATATAACTTTACTTTTTATAAGTACTTAAAAAAATTTTGATAATACAATCAACATGTTAACTGCAAAAGAATAAAAAATAGTTCAGTACTGTTATGAATTGTTTCCGACCAAAGGATTATCGGATACGGGATGTCATAAAATATATGATCATCCGCTGCTTAGGTGATCCAATGATTACACACTTCACAATTTGTTTGTCTTTATTGCTCACAAAAGGCTCTTAGCAACTATGATTGATTCTCTTGTCGTCTCTCAAGCAAGCAACCGACCTGGCGCTCGATCCCTTCAATTCTGCCATTCTCTCGCCACTTTAGCGCCACGCATGGCATAGCGCATAGCGCCTCCTAAAAGCGCTCCTTCTTTTTGAAGCTCGACCAATCTCCTAGACGCTTGCAATTATCATAAGAGCGCGCAAGTACAAAAATGAGGCGGCAATTACAAAATAAAAATTAGTATCGGTATCTAAATCCGTACAAGTACAAATCAAATAAGAGAAAGAATCCTATTTTTGGTTAATTGATACTTAATAATATATTAATATGCTATATTTTTTAGTTTTATAAATTACGCGTCGATTCGGTTTGTTAGACTAGAAACGGAATCGCAGCTAAAATATTAATGTCACACATTGATCCAATTCTACATATTTAATGCTAAGTTACTTACGCACTCCACTTTGTAATTCCATCCAACTGATGAGTTCGTAAGCCTTAGAATTATGTCGAATTCCATTATCATGTATGTTATTTTATTTCTGTTTTAGCTGATATATTCGACCAAGTAGATGAACAAATAAAAAAACATGCTGGTCTACGAGCGAATTGCGTAGGCGGTGGAAGAATTGAGCATGACCCCGACGAAAAGACTATCAAAGTTTATGGATATTCGCAAGTAAGTTCTGGAATTTAGTACGTAATTTATCGGAATATTTATTATTTAATCAATTTCGCATGTCCTTGATTTGACCGACGTAAAAATATTTTATTTTTCACGTATATGTTTTTGCTCTAATAACGGTTTCTTCTAGTAAGTATAGTATTTCATCCATTTCTGTCTGTTTATTACAAAATAACAGCTGTTTAATTTTTCGATTGTCATTTTGTATATTCTGTATTTTCCACTTATTTCTTATTATTCACTGTGACATTATTCATTGTGCACTGCATGTATATTTCATTTATTTTCAAACGTGCTTTTGTTAATCGAAATTATGCTCGTACTTATAAGATTGACAATTGGTTGACATGAATGTCTAGAGTGAACCGTGATATATTCCTAATATCAGATAGTGGCTTCAAATGCGGACAGAGGAATACCTATGATTAACAGCGCATAAACATTTTCACCCCATACTATTGCTCGTTACGAGCTTCACGCCCACATTCAGTATCGTATGTCGAACTTTAGCAGATTAAATTCTCTCGACCGACAGAATTGGTGCCTCTGACGCAAATATAATCGAATAGGAAGTTACGTGCGTTTTATCAGTTGAATTGTACGTGTAAAATAGAAATTTCTTTCAGTGGAGTATACTTTTTATATATTCTCAATATCTCTTATTATGTTACCGCAAACACAATAGTTGAAACAATAAGAAAAGAATTTAAACGAAACGCTAACGTCCATAAAATCGATTCTTCTTTAAATTCAACATCCAAATTTTCTCCGAAGTCATAGTACATATTCCGAACAATTTTTCGTCTTGAACACGATTGACAGAGTTTGTGTAGCATATCAAAATTTTGAATAAATTAAGGCGAAATAAATAAAAAATGATCATTTTTAACATTTTTTTTTTACAATAGAATAAAAGTTTGTTTCTAAATAAACGGTATCTAAAAGCTCTCTAATTTGAGAGCTTTCAAATGAATTTTATTTCACGATTGTACGATTTAGTTTCATCAAGTTATGACTGTTTAAATTTTAGACTTTTTGTATAATTACACAATTCAACAAAAAAATCCCTTTTTTCTTTGCAATAATATATACCCTGAAAACTTTTTCACCCTCAACACGATGCTATCGTTAGAGTTTGTGTAACATGTCAGGATTTTTAGTAAAAATTGAGATAGGTATAATATTAAATTGGTTGTCGGTCTATTTCATATGATATCGTGTTTAGCGCGAAAAAAAAATCTTTAAAATATAAACCATGACATTTTGGAGAGAGAAAAAAGTTGAATTTTTATCGAACAGTAAGTATTAAGATAGATATTTTCTATTCAATAAAAAATACAAAAATTCCGCTATTTCGTCGCGAAACGCTTCCGAGTGTACAAATGCTATAAACCTTGAAGCTGCAGGTCGATCGACCTCCAAGCGTAAAATTGCAATTGCATTTATGTAAACTTGGAAATGTCCGTCGACTTCCGCAACTCCGTTGGATTTTATCGAGCTATGTTATGACATTTACGATCGTAGGTATCTTGCGTAAATAGTATAAGATAATTATTACGAGTGTGTTGCAAAAATTCGGCCGGTGCCATAAGTTTTTACTTTCGCACAATATCATTTAATTTTATGACATGCTAGACGCGCAATGCATTGCTAGATCAAGCATTGTGTTTTTTAATTGCGCAACTTCTTTTACTCTTTTATTTAAAGCAGTATTTTTTCTTTTAATTTTCTTTTCTTTTCCTTATATGATTTTATAATACCATATTATTATATCGACAATTATTATAACGCATAGACATTTTGTATTGGCTTGAATATTTGCTTTATTTATTTGATAAAAGAATAGATAGTTTATTTTAATTAAAATACATTGCTTTAACCCTGTCAACTCTTGACAAAATTCTCGACGTCTTGACGTCAGAGTTACTACTAGTAACCTTTCTCAATGTAAATTTTAATACTGCGTTAAGTTTATTACATAAAGAGTTGTATAACTTCAATTTGGCTACAAGTTGCAATTTGTAAGGACGAAAGTAAGGATGCTATCAGAGTATCGTTATCTTTAGTAAATAAATTTAAGTTGTATAAGATAAGTATAATAGATGTAGCGAAGTTGCGCGTTTCGTAAAATATGATATGAACGCCTCAAACATGATGCTGCGTATTCATTCTATTCCAGAGGAAATATCCTAGTGCTATATAGATATTATAAGGAATGAACAAGCCGATATGTCTTAAGAGGATCCTAAAGCCGTCTGTATTACCGATTAAATCGTAATTTTTGTAGGGTTGGGTAAGTTAATTTTTTTTTTTAACTAAGTTAAGTTAAAGTTAATAGCCTTGAAAATTTAACTTGATTAAAATACAAGTTAATCCATAATGAAATTAATTGAATTAAAAGTTAAGTTAATAAAAAAAGTAATTGAGAAGTTAAAAGTTAAATTTAGTCCGAACGAACAACTAAAAAAAAAAGAAAAAGAAAAGGTTTGATCATTTTACATAATTTTTCGTATTTTTCCTTTCTCACATCATATTTATTAAAGAATCTGGTTATTTTTGTTCACAAGTAACGATTATACAATATAAAATTACTAAATTATATACTCATACTCTCGCATTGTGTCTGAGAATTGACTTAAAAAAAATCAAATTAAAAATTAATAGTTACTGATAAAATGTAACTAAATTAAGTTAAAAAGTTAAAAGTCTAAAATGTGACTAAGTTAAATTAAAATTAATTAACTTTTTAACTTAACTTTTATCTTTTTAACTTAGCACTACCCAACCTTGAATTTTTGTATAACAAATACTTTTTTCTCTTTCACAGATTCGAAAATCCTTTTTCAGGATTAAAGTATACATATTAATATATGTTTGTGAGGTGGAGTTTATGCCGAGAACGATAAAAAATTTTTCTTAAGATTTCAATTTTGAAATTTTTTGTCGTTCTTAGTGTAAATTTCACTTCACAAACACGTATTAATGTGTATACTTAAATCCAGGAAAAGGATTTTCGAATCTGTGAAAGAGAAAAAAGTATTTGTTATACAAAAATTACGATTTAATCGGTAATACAGACTTAAGTTAAGATCCTCTTAAAGCGGCGAAAGCGTTCCGAATTATTTATTCGAGAATTTAAATTGAATTTTACAATCCATTCTAGAAGATAGATAATTCATATTACGAGAGCAGCGTAAGATTGAGAGAAGAAAATATTTTTAAAAACACGAGATTTAAGAAAAAGATTCGAGCGTATATATTAATAAATTAAAGACTCCCCGGACAGAAGTGACGGGATATTAGTAGATTTAAAGAGGGTCGCCCTCTTTAAATCCAACAACACTCAGGGGAGAATAATTTTAACATCGTCCTTGATGCTCTGTTTTCATATCGCTAGTCACAGCTACAAGCAACGGCGTATTTTATCTACTTCTGTCTTCTTGGAGATTATTTCTGATCCCATGAGAACATGGCTCAATACCGTAAAATTTAAGCGAAGAGTAACGATATTATGTATGAAAAAATTAAAACGTATCAAGTTATTTTATTAATATTTATAATAATTGTGAGATTCTTTTGTAAGATTAAAAACTATAAAATATTTTATGTAATCCTCTCTTTCTCTCTCTCTCTCTGATTCTTGCTATGCAAGATCAATTAGGAACACGTGACGTTTCAAATTAATATTAACTCTTCGCTGGCTAAGTTGAACTTTGAAAGCATCAATGTTTTGTCAAAGTCAATATTTTGGTTGATTGAATTCTGATAGGTAAATTACACCTGTAAAAAAATCTGCATTGAAGCTCAAAGATCCAGGTTGTTGATGGAAGATGCGAAATTCCACGTGACCGCATAGATAGAAGGTTAATTCGATATTATAATATTATTGAGGGCATTCAAATCGACAAAGCGGCTAGCCTGTTTGCCGAGCAAATGAATATGATTGGTTGTTACTTATAGATTCCAACCAATTACATTCAATTGCTCGACAAGCCTTGCCCGGCTTGAATGCGCCCATTAATACTATTAAATAAAATTGCGATTCAATATTAGTACATTATTATAAAAATAAGTATTATAAAATTATTATAAAGAATGCCATTAATTTATTCATTTGCGCTATTTGTGGTGCATTTATAATGTTTTTCTTTCAACCTCAGAACTTTTTATTGAATTGAAAATCTTTTTTTTACAGCACTTTTGCATTTAGCTTTCTTTAAAATACGACATATCTCAGTTTGTCATTGCAATTTTATCTAAAAGAGTCTATCCGAAAGCTTAATTTCCACCTTCTTTATTTTTTTAATTTCCTTTTCCTTTTGTGCATTGCTGCAGTCAACGCGACGGCTGTGGTAATGTCAAGTATACACTTCATGTAAAATTGATAACGCGAAGTCTGTTCTAGTAACAATTGCTGCCAATTAATTCATTATGCTAGCGAACATATTATATTAATTGAACATGATAAAATGACCTGAACTTTGTTACGTAAAGGTCATGAATGACACGACATTATTGTATATTTATTTTTATAGGATGTGATAGACAGTTAAGGGGATGCTGGAGCCGCCTGTATTACCGATAAAACTAGCGTTTTTAATGTTTTTGTTCCTGTCGAATTTCTTCGTAATCAGTTTCACAGAATAAAAATTCCTTTTCCATGATTAAAGTATACACACTAATGTATTTATCGCTGGTGTATTTTGTGTTCAAAGCTGGAAAAAATAAAAAATTACAGATTTCTTTATCCATTTTTATCTCAGTATGGCGACCAACGCTGAAGATAAAATGAATAAAGAAATTTGTATTTTTTATTTTTTCTAGCTTTGAACACAAAATACACCAGCAATAAATACATTAGCATGTATATTTTAATCATGGAAAAGGAATTTTTATTCTGTGAAATTATTACGAAGAAATTCGACAGGAAGAAAAACATTAAAAACACTAGTTTTATCGGTAATACAGGCGGCTTCAGCATCCCCTTAATCATTTTCGACTAATTTGATTTACAGGGCTTTGGCAAAGCGGATCATCAAGTGTCGGTTGAGTTGTTGAAGAAAAAATATTCGACCTACAATGTTACGTGGTCAGACGAAGGTTACTAATCAAGAAATAAATATATGTATAATGACGCGATACACTATCATGTCTTTTAACAAGTATATGTATATATATACATATATATATAACATATACACACAGGATTGAATATTGCTACGTACATTTAATACATTATTTAATTATTAATCAGTTACTAATAGAATGTATGTGCGTATCGGAATGAAATTAGATATGTCTTAATTATTAAACATTCTAACTGTCTACCATACCTGTTTTAAGGAATATCGCATAAAATGTAAGCAAATTAAATAATTTTAAAATTAAAAAAGGCTATTTATATCTTTCTCTAAAATTTGTTCTTTCTGTTTTATGGAATACTATACATATGTATTGTACAAAAAAATACAAAAATTAAGTAATTAAAATTAAAGGAAACTATTCATTTGTTTGATTTTATATTTACATCCCTCCCAGAAATTTCTTCATGTATAAATTTTTATTAATAACTTAATTAATACTATATTTAAAATAATTTTATTTTCTATATCTCTCCCTATTTCCTCCTCCATCATTTTGAATCAAAATATGGATGATGTCTTTATTCATTTGAAAGAATATACAGGATGATTACTAATGGTTGTACCAATTACTTACCATAAGACTTACCTACTGCATGACTTACCGACTGCACTTGTAATTTACTAAACGCTCCTTAGATGGCAGTTGCTTCGTCCGGCGCGCGAGCA